CAAATACGTTAAGGTACATGCCTCAAATGCAACAATCTGATTAAGAACTTTGTCGACAACAATTTGTAAAAAGAAGCTTAATTCAAGATACTGGACCTACTTTTTGTTATATGTCTGCTTTTCGGTATTTCATGTATATAAGCTTAATCGATAGCAAGTAGTGTAGATATATAGCAAGAGTATCATGGTGTCCACTTTGTCGCTTTTCTATAACTTTTTACTGTAGTTCGATTTTTTTGTTGTTAACTAAGAGATCGTTAGAAAGAATTGATTTTTATTTTTTAATTTATTATAAAATTATTATATATGTATATATTTTTAAAACTCTTTCAAAAAAATCAACTTTTTATAATATTAAGTAATTTTTTTTAAACTAATCACAATTATAATAACTTACATATTGTTTTAAAAAACTACTTTCTTTAAATTTATTAAACTATTATTATCTTTAATATTTTGTATATAGTTTATCACTCTATTAAGTATTTTCTTGACATTTTTTAATTTTTTTTTTTTGCTTGTTTATTTTTCTGTTTTAATCACTTAGATAAAATAGTAAAAATAGTAATATTAGAAATAAAAGTATAAAAAATAAGAAAAAATTCTATTTTAAAATCAAAAAAATAAAAAAATAATATATATTAAAAATTGCTAACTAAATAAAGATTTAAAAAAAACAATAAATAACTCAACTCTTCAAATAGTCTTTATTCATTTTGTAGTTTTTGAAATAAAGATATTTATATATATAATAATAATAATATTTTTAAATTTGGAATTTTTAAAGATTTGGATAATTAAAATTTCTAGAGTTTTAAAAAAACTAGTTGATTTTTTTGATTTTGTGCTATCTAAAAAGTTTATTAATCATTCTAAAAAAACTTGATAATATATACTTGAGTTTTTTTTAAATAATATAAAGGTTTAAAGCTTTACTATTGCAAATAAAAAAGTCAAAATTGTGAGCTATAAGAATTTGATAAGAATCAATAGTAGCTTGAAAATTTTTACTAGTAGCAAACTTTTAAATACATATATAAAAAAATTTTTGATAATAAATTCATATTAAAAATGGTCTACATGTACTCTATCTTTAAGAACAAATCAACTTTATGAAATAAACATGATGTAGTTGATAGTGCAGAGAATTATTTTCATAATTGTGAAAATAATTCCCCTGCATCATTAGACAATACTGGATTATATTCACGCTTTATCCCGTAATGCATAAGTTTGAGTTACAACACAATTGTTGAAACTAGTAAAAACTCTTAAGAATTTACAAAGTCCCAAACTATCACTTAATCCCCGTTCCACTTTCAATATATATAAATTTAATAAATATCGCGACTGGTGCTAAAATTTGTGTCTCAAAATATTAAACTCTATTAAAATCCACTTTTTCCTAAATCCTAGCCTAACAACAATTTATATTAAAATTTGTAGTTAAAATGCGACATCAGTCAATTTCAGCCCAATTTCAAAATTTAAATTTAAAATTTTAAAAATTAAAAAAAATTATACTGTATATAATTTACAAAAAAATAAACATTTTCTAATTAAATATTTCTAATTTTATAAAATAAAAAAAAATTAGTTAATAATAATAAATTTTTGAGTAAATAACTTTTAAACATTCAAAAAAATAATTTTTTTTAATCGAATTATTTGGAATCTGGGTTAAAAAATCCCGACAAGGTTATAATCTCGACAAGTTAGCCATAATTCGTTAAATTTTGTCTGGATTTTGTTTGTCGAGGTTTTGTTTATTTGATATTTTAACCTTAAAAGCCAAATATTTGTTAAATCCAATCAAAATTTAACTATATCGGAATTTAGGCAAATTTAAATTTAATAAATAACGAAAATCCAATATTTTGATTTCAAATATTTGAAGATCAAATCAAATTACAAAAAACCCTATATATTAACAATTAACTTCAACTTTGTATATGTAAATAATTAAAAATAAGTTTAAATAATTTTAAATAACTAACGCTAATCATTATCCAGGACTCAGGGTTACGTATTTAAAATTTTGTTGTATCAAATGATCATTTACCATTCTTTGAATCCGATTGTTTGTATGTTACATCTAATTCTGCACCCTGATTGGTCGATCATTATTAGCATTAGCGGTAAATATAAATTTATTTCTATTATTTATAGAATTTTTGAACTTTTATGTATATATATTATACATACCTATATACATATATATATAAATAAAAACAAAAAAATTCTAAACAGAAATCCAAATTTTACCATAATATAATTCATAGAAAGCAATAAATTCGTGGCTAATTCAAATGCTCAGCTGATTACGTATTCTGCTATAGGTATAGGTATAACAATAGTCAACTGACAATGCTTTATTGTCCAACTTTGGTTGAATTCCTGACTCGGGAATTCTGGAGATTTCTCCATAAAAAAACTTTTTTTTTTTTAGGTGTAATTCACATGATTTTCTTGAAAGTTTTTTTTCTAAAGTGGAATAACATGTGACAACATATCGTACCTTGGATGCAGAAGATCTAGATTGATTTTAAATGGTTAAAAATGTTTATTAATTTCAAGGGGAAATAAACAAGAGCAGGATCGACTAATTCTTTATTAGTTATGTGTTAACTTTTCTATATTTTACATTAAAAAAAATCAGGCGTTACTTTTGCGCACAGGTTCGAGAAATCGGTATATATATTTGTAAATTCTATTTTTATATAGTTTTATGTTTAGGATGGGCGTAAATTTTCAGATTGGTACTACAAATCATTTAAAAGAAGGATTTAAAAGAATGATTTAAAAGAATGATTTTTGGTTTAGCATGCATATAAATTTGTTATCTAAAAAATTTGATAAGACAGAATTTATTCTTTTTTCCCTCTAAATTATGTACGCCCCGTTAACTTTAATACATAGAATGGATTCATTTAAATTTTTTTTTTACTTTTTCGGAATTTGTATACCAACTCAAAACGGCGCTTATTTCATATTTAATAATAGTGATAGGGACACATTTAATGCATATCTTGATTGACCATTACAAATCACTTTCATTATCGTTATGGTTAGTCTTTAGAAAATAGTTTACCGAAATTAATTTGACGTTCGGAGATGTATTAATTAATGATCTTAAAATCCCCACTGTTGTTTTAAAACTTGTGAATTTTACGGTGAACATCCAAAACTGCAATTAATAATTCATAGAATAATGGCACACAATTCTGAATCATCATGTCACACAATGGAAAAACAATTAGGCATTTTTTCATTAACTTTATAAAAAACAGTTCATAGAACAATTGATTCATCTTAAATGAACGGCACTGGTATAACTAGATGGTTTGTACACATAAGCAGCTTTATTACTATCATATGAACTCCGCATAACGATAAATATGAATGCTGATCAAAGTTTAAGTATAAGTATGTACGTACGTACGTACGTAATAACTAACGCACCGCGTGGATCAAATACTTTTAAGGAACAATGTTTTTTTAAGGATATTCGATCTGCACAAGAAAGCATGAAGCTAATATTAGATATCATTAACAATTATCTTCTATGGTGCAGAAAGTATGCGAATTGTGTTTGTATGTCCTAGACCTAGAACAAAAGTAATGGATACAAATTTAAGTAAATGTAAGGATCATAATACACAAATAAAACAGTACATATACATGAATAAAAATGAATAAAAACGAATAAAATAGTATGAAATAAATTCAGTTAAACACATACCGTATTTCCAGCCTTGAATGGCAATAACCGGTTCACCACTTTCAAGTATCCTAAAAATTATTTTATTTAGAATTATTTTATTTTATTTAGAAATAAGATTACACCAAAAAAAAACACGTTAATTCGTAACATTAAAGAAAGGAGCTACATACTTATGCGTAACAGCAAGACTCATCCCCCATTGAATTCTATTTTCAACATCTTCCTGCCAACGTGTTTCATTGGTTTCATCAGTTCTAGGCTTTTCATATATGAAAGGGTAACAACCTCGGTAAAGATGAATTTGCCTTGCAGTTTTGGCATTTCTCGTGACAGTAACGATCGGACAACGAGGCTTATATTTAGAGATTAAACGTGCAGTATTTCCTGACGTGGATAAGACAAGAATACAACCTGCATGTGTCTCATTTGCAGCGGTAACTGCAGCACAAGCAACAGCTTCAGCCGTTTCCAATGGTAAAGGAGTAAGGGCACGCAGCTGATGAAAGAGAGGTGGATAACAAATAGCCGATTCAGCTGTGATACATGTTTCATGCATCATTTTTACTGAAAAGAATTCCAAATATATAATTTAGAATATATTTATTGATAGAAAAATGAAGATGAATAATAAATTTACCGGCTTCGATAGGATAAGATCCTTTCGCAGTTTCACCAGATAACATAACACAATCTGCACCATCCAATACAGCATTTGCAACGTCACTAACTTCTGCACGTGTTGGTCTTGGGTTATACTATATAATTTTATCCATTTCATCATAGTAAATAAGAAATCGAAATATTTTTTTATAAAACAAAAAACTTACTGTCATAGACTCCAACATTTGTGTTGCACTAATTAAAAGAATTATATAATTTCTTAAGCACTTAAAATCATGGTAAAAAAAGATTAGACATAAAACGTACCATACTACTGGTTTACCGGCAAGATTGCATTTAGCAATCATCATTTTTTGTGCAACAAAAACTTGAGATGGAGGAATCTCGATACCAAGATCACCACGAGCAACCATAATACCATCAGCTTCCTTTAAAATTTCATCAAAATTGTTGACACCTTGTTGATTTTCGATCTTTGCAATAATTTTGATTCCACATCCATCTTCACCAAGAATTTTTCGAATATCTTTAATATCTTGACTTTGACGAATAAAAGAAGCGAAAACCATATCCACTTCATTTTTTACACCAAATAATAAATCATTTTTATCTTTTTCAGATACAGCTGGTAAATCCACATCTGTATCAGGTAAATTTACACCTTTTTTACTACAAAGTTTTCCATTATTGATGGCACGAACTTTGACAAAATCATCATGAACCTCTAATACTTTAAACGAAAGAACACCATCATCCACATATATATTTTTTCCTACTTCGATAACTTTGGTAATATTCTTGTAATCGACATACATTACATTCAAATCACAAGTCTCAGCATATTTTTCATCTGTGCTGAAGATCATCTCATGGCCAGCGCTGATTGGAAGCTATCGAATGGAATTAATGATATTGTAAACAAATCATGATATTGTAGAAAAAAAAAACAAATCATGATATTGAATAAAAAAAAAAACCAAATCATGATATTGTAGATATTGTATAAAAATTATAACACATACCTCATTATTGTCACGCATGAGACCCGTTCGGATTTCGGGCCCTTTCTGCAAAAATACGAATTATTAATATGGTGCTAATAAAAATTGATTAATTGTCAAAAGATCAAATGAATATTACCGTGTCAAGAGCAATCGCAACAGGTCGACCGGGATATACTACTCGACAAATCGCCCTCAATTAGTATATATCATACAAAAATAAAATATATATCATACAAAAATAAAATATATATATATATATATATATAAAATATATATATATATATATATA